GGATGAGATGTGGAGATCGAGGTGTTGTAGAGCCTCCTGAAGGAATTCCGGCCGAGATGTCTTCCTTGAACCCCGTACTTCGCCGCCACGTCCCCCTCCTTGGTCCGCCTCGAAGACACTCTGGCATCTTGAGCGTCGACGAACCAAGAGCCAAGCGCCACACACGAGAAAATTAGCAATCGGATTCTTACCGTGTTTATTTGCATTTTTTTTTTTGTTGTTGTTTCTCGTTTTTAATCAATTTATCTATGTATCTTATTTATTTTTTTATTTTTATTTTTTTTTATTTCTTTCTTCTTTTTCTTCTTTATTTTCTTTTTCTTTTTCTTTTCTTGGTTCGTGTCTTTCTACACTTTGTCTTTTTCTTCTTTCTTTCTTTTCTCGTTTTGTAATTGTGGTTTATGTTCATATGGATACCGTTGGCCTTTATCACTTTATTTTCTGTTTTCTTTTCTCTTTTTCTGTCATTCTTTTATTATTAGATTTCGCTGAAAGGAAATATAGTAGAGAGATTAGAAAGAAACCACAGATTTAATAATACAAGAGTTAAAAAAAAAGAAAGAGACTGACAGAGAGATAGACAGGGTAATAACGCTCATAAACGAATAATTGTGACACGCATTATACATATTTTTTTCTATTTTCTATATGTAGGACGAGAGAGAGATTTGACAGTGTTGGCCTGCTATTTTATAATTCACTTTATAGCATTAACCATAACTCAAATAACAAAAGTCAAAACTTAAGTTATAACTGTAAACGCGAGAATTAAGTTGATATCTTCAAAAAAAATACTACAAAGAATGGAATAAACTTCAGAAAAAATGTAGTAAAAATGATAATGCATAAAAAACAGCGACATTCTCATGGCCGTGGATTCTAAGTAAACTGTACAGTTAGTTCAAGTACATATTATGCACCACTATTACAGCCAGCATTTCATCTGCCTTTCTCTCTGTCTGTTTATCTGCCTTTCGTTCTGTCTATCTGTATATCATAAAAATAATCTATCTGTCGATTTGCCAATTTATAATTTCCTCTATAGATTTCTGTGTGTACATTTATATGTGTATGTGTTGTTTTGGGTGTGTTTTGTGTTATTGTATTTTATTGTGCTATGCTGTGTTATGTTGTGTGCGTGTTTCTCTGCTGAGTGTATGTGTGTAATTTGTGTTGTGTGCGTGTTTCTCTGCTGAGTGTATGTGTATGATTTGTGTTGTGTGCGCGTTTCTCTGCTGAGTGTATGTGTATGATTTGTGTTGTGTGCGTGTTTCTCTGCTGAGTGTATGTGTATGATTTGTGTCGTGTTTTTCTGTGTGCATGTTTTGTGTCCGTGTTCGTGTTGTGTCTTGTTTTGGTGTGTTTGTGCTGTGTTTCTTGTTTTGTTTTATTGTATTGTATTATGTCGTGTTTCTTGTTTTGTTTTGTTGTTGTGCACTGCTGTTTTAAAACTGTGCTGCTTGTTATGTGTGTGCGTGTGTACATTCTTATTTCGGATCGGTATCCAAATCCTCTGCTCTGTACTTACATCATGCAACAACAAGAGAAAAAAATCATGAATATAATAAAACAAGGAAAGACTCCTGTCATTGTAAAGGTTAAGACGTTTGTTAAATAACACGCTTTGGGTATGCATGCAACGAACCAACATTTGTTTACACGATAGCTTCAGGTGATGCTGTCAGATTGCTGATGGCATTGTTTAATTCTTATTCATGCATATTCATATTATGAGGAAGGATGCGATTATATAATATATATTATTATTCAAGGGATTAATTAACAAAATGGTTTGTACAGCTCATGGGTGTGTGGTTGCGTAATATGCTCATTTTTTATTTTTTGTTGCATATAAGTAATTTTGTTTATTTGTTATATCATTGATTAGGTTTTGCGCTTTTGTGTGTGTGTGTGTGTGTGAGAGAGAGAGAGAGAGAGAGAGAGAGAGAGAGAGAGAGAGAGAGAGAGAGAGAGAGAGAGAAAGAGAGAGAGAGAGAGAGAGAGAGAGAGAGAGAGAGAGAGAGAGAGAGAGAGAGAGAGAGAGAGAGAGAGAAAGAGAGAGAGAGAGAGAGAGAGAGTGTTTGTGTGTGTGTGTGTGTGTGTGTGTGTGTGTGTGTGTGTGTGTGTGTGTGTGTGTGTGTGTGTGTGTGTGTGTGTGTGTGTGTGTGTGTGTGCGTGCGTACGCGTGTGTATTTGTGCGTGCGCGCGTATGTGTGTGTATTCTAACAGTGCAGTCCTCCACACGCATCTCCTACACATAACACTGCACTCCCCCAGAGACATTCAGAGTAATATCATGCACGGTGTAAAATTACAGGATAGAAGATTACATAACTGCCATGTATCAGCTGACGAGACTGAAAGAAAATATTCAAATTATTTTTTTTTTTACGTTTCTTTTTCCCCCGCCTCCATTATCATTGCTTTTTATGCTATCATCATGATTATCTTATCAATAGTTTTGCTATTTCTAGTACTGTATCAGTTTCGTCATTTCTGTCATCTCATCTCTATCCTTTTTTATTATTGTATTATTTATATGATTATTTTTATCATTATATTCACGATTGCATTTTTAGTTCCATGTTAACTATCATGTTTTTTCTTATATCACTTATTCTTTTGCTGATTATTATTATGCCTGTTTTAGAGTCTTTTTTATTATGAATATATCATGAGAACTGTTATAGTTATGAATTCATAAAGCCCATTTTTATCATTGTCATTTTATTAAATTTCATTCAAATTATACCAACATCAAGATTTTCTTTTATCGTGAAATTCTCTTGCTTCTGAGATGATTAATTTGTTTGGAAAATGGGAATAGATACTGACTAAATATGAAGTGAGTTTTTGGGTAGACTGACCATGGCCCAGAGATCACCTGGCTGGAGTTTAGCTGTGAATTGGATCAATGGGCAGAACTAGGATCCATTACCAGAGCGATAGATTATAGGATAATGGTTTGCTAGGATATCCATTTACTTTACAAATATTGTGGAATTTCATTTTATTTTTCTAATATGCCAAAGTTAGTTTTGAGAGGTTTTCAGTTTAGTCATAAAAGTAATGTATTTAGATTTTTAAAAAATTATTTCTAGCGTTATAATCATTTATAATTCGGGTGGGATCATTAGCAGAAATATAAGTGATTTTTGTCATGATTGGTGTCACTACATTCAGGATGATTTATTTTTATGATCGATGTTTTTTTACGATTTCCCTTTTTCCTAATTTTGGCACACGTTTATCATCACTGTTATTGATTGGGTCACTGATTGTCGTCAATTCATCTATGGGAACAAAAAGCGAGGAAGGCAAATTGCCACATCCACCCTTCACTTCTTGTCCCAAGGTGATCCGCTATGCAGGGACCTTGCATGTCTTATCTTCCCTGCAACACGTTTGATCAATCTGGCAAAGTCACAACTTTCGAGGTCATGCCACAGGCCTTCTTCACCCAGGATTATCTAGGGAATAGAATTTGAGGAAGGGAGCCGAATGTCTGTACAGACTGAGCTGGCTGATGACAATGCCAGTCGCACGGTGCAGTCACTGACTGGAGACATGGTGTTGCCAAATGTCTTCTGTGATCTGGTGAATGGGATCTGCTGCAAAATGTCAACACATGACCCTCAGGTATAAAAAGAGTCCAGGTTTTACTACATACAGTAAAACTGACACTATCAGTATATTTGAGACATGAAGTTACCAAGGTCGATATCTAGATACTTCATGACTCCTGTCTCCAGGTCAATATGTCTGTTGACGTCCTGGTCAAAATGTCTGTTGAAGTCCTCGCTCTAAGTACATATCTACTGGCAGATTCTTCTAACACAGACCTCTGCTCTCCTGGATCTTTGTCCTGGTTCAAGAAACCCCTAAATCCACTTCAGTGTTAAATACATTGTTAGTTGCCACTAGGATTTCCAGAGACTCAGTCAGAATAGCATCATCATTGGCAAAGTGATATCTGTGGCCATACTATTACCTAGTCTTGTCACACAGTCTTAAGACAGCAGCTCTACCAAGTACCCTGTGTAGACAAGTATTAAGAAGAGAATTTCCAGGAAGAAGGCTTTGTCTCCTCCCCTTTTAAAGGGCGTTCAGCACCTGTATATAGATAGGCTGTTGATTCAATAACCTTTGTTGAAATTCTGAATCAAGATTTCCCAGAGTAATTTGCAATACACTGAGCAGAACCCCATCTTGAAGTCGTTATAGGATGCGAGCAGCCCACAACTGAATGCTTGATAGTGTCCTACAGTGACTCAAATTGCAAGGATCTGATTTGCCGTGCATTTAGCAAGTGTGTATAAGAATTAGTCCGGTCCCTGGTACCTCAGTAGGTGGTCTCTGATACATCTCTTTAATGCTGTTGTCCCATGTCCACCTCCAGTGAAAAATGACCTTCAGCAGGACCGGGGGCATGGTGCTATACTACCAGTTAGCGGCCAGAATGGCATGCTGTTTTCAAACCATAGGTTCACCATCCAGTATCGACATTCTAGCAAGAATGCCGAATTCGCTTGCTGCTAATCCATCCTTTCTTGGTCAGGGTAGGAGACTCTTAGCTAATGGCAGGGTCGGCACTGGGACCACAACACCACCTATTCGATGTTAATCATTTCTAACTACTCAAAATACTATATCTAGCATGGCCACATCCTATCAGGATATGAGATGATCTAGCCATGGGCTGAGTGAACTACAATCAATTTCCACGGGGCTCAGTAAGTAGGACAAACGTCATTTACTAAGAAGTGGGCTTAGAGCTGGATGGACAGCTTTCTGCAAGGGAAGCAGGTCTGGGGTAGGATATTTCTTTTACTTCTGATTTGCATTCGCTAGTAGGAGAGCACCCGGCAAATAGGAATATAAAGGCAGACGGCTGCTTGAGTCTAATTGCCATCACATGCTTGTCAGCTGGAGCTCTCTCTCCTACCGGAAGCTAAATTCTGCTCCCTAAAGGTGGCTCAGCAGCCCATGCCACGCCGCGA